AGAGTAAAAGTCTATAATATCTTTACTTTTATGGTAAACAAATTAGAAAAAGTAATAAACTACAACCACACAAAAAAACTTGCGACGGCCATACATTTGAGCCTGCTTTGTTATTTGAATCCAATATGGAGAGCAGAATCAGAGTTACAAAGAATAAATTATAGAAAGTTTTCCTTTACTGCTTACGGATAAAGATGAGCTTAATTACCTTACTTATTGGTAAGAAATTCAGGTTAGTCTCTAAAATAAAATTTCAAATGTTGTTCCTTCTATATATTGCCCACACGGTACTTAACAGTATAAATATGTTCTTTAAATAAAGCAATTACTATATGTTTATATTCCTTTGATATGACTATCAGTTTTTTATTTTACTCATATTGAATCGATTAATCAAAATCACTTATGTTATTCTACTTCGTACTAAGCAACTAAAAAACGAAATAATACACACAACAGTCGCTAAATCATCTAACAATATCATGTTTTTTGAACATATGTTCTTTACTAAGACTATAATATGAACTGAAAATTTATGTAAAAATAAAACATAAGAAACCGGCGCGTAGCGCCGGAATACCACTAGTTATATTATTAAAAAGTAGTTCTTGTTATAGTTGTAATGAATTGATGAATGGGGAAATCAAAGGTGGGCCGTACGCTTAGGTGTGCCATCCATCTTTTTCTCATTTTCCATTCAAACTCGAAATAATACATAGATCAGTACTAATCTTTTTGCCAAAAAATATTTCTCCTCTTTTCTATTCTCTTTTTCTTATTTTTTTTATTATTAAATTTGGTGAGATATTCTTGTTTTTCAACTCATGTAGGTGTTTTTAGTGAGGATTATTTCAGTTTGGATATTTGGATCTAGATAAGCTGGTGACTAAAGTGATATACATATATATATATATATATATATTATTTGAGAAATCAATATATTACATGTCATTCTCATGTTAATTCTTAGAACATCATTAGTGGAGAGTATTTTTCCAAAAGACTCTTGTCATTATTAAATTAGTTATTTAAAGTAACTTTATTATACTATTTAATTTTATTTTTAAAATAAAATTGAACTAATGATAAAATGACACATAGATCAGTACTAATCTTTCTGCCAAAAATTGTTTCTTCTACTTTCTATTATATCTTTCACACTTTTTTTATTATTAAAATGACACATAGATCAATACTAATCTTTCTATTGTTTTTTCAACCCATGCTGGTGTTCTTAGTGGAGATTATTGGTTTTAGTACTATGATTTTCAATCATAAAACTAATAGCACTAGATTTGGTTTGTATTTTCAAACCTATTAAAATATAATAACCAATAACACTATCTTAGAATAGTCAATTATAATGGTGTCTTTAATGAATTAACAATATTGTATATAATGTTATTATTATGATTTTTTACTTTCTTTTCTTTTGTGTTTCATTATTTTTTATTTTTAGTTTCTTCTTTGTTTCATTATTTTTTTACTTTTAATTTCTTTTTTTTTATCATAATGTTTCTTAAACTACTAAAAAACACAGAAATTATATATATATAAGTTTTAATTTCGATATTTTATTGAATAACTAATAATGAATAAATTTTTAACGAAAATATAATATTTTATCTTACATAATATAATAAATACTAAAAAAACAACCAACGATATATATATGTTTTGATTAAAAGATTAAAACTGAAACCAAAATATTTTTTAATAACATAAATCAACCATCAAACTTATGCTTTATATATTTAGCATTTAATCTCTTCTTAATATTAAACCGAAATTTAAAATAAAGAAATAATTTAAAATTAATAAATTATGTTTGTCAACAGATCCAAAAATAGACTTGCTAAACTAATAAAATTTAAAATTTTAAAAAATATTTTTATCCAAACGGTACATAATAAATTACAAAATATATTTACAACTAAAATAAAAAATAAACTAATTAATACTATTTAATATCATTTTGTCTACTTAAAATTAAAATATTTGTAGTAAAAATGCAACTCAATAAACACCAAAAATAAATAAGTAAATCAATCAAAAATTTTAAACATGACTTGTATATATAACAAAAATAAAAATGATTTATTTATGTTATATGTAAAAAAATTCAAATAAGATAAACTTAGAATAATTAATTATAATGATATATATATATATATTAATAATTAATTATTTCGTAAAATAATAGTTGTGACGCATTGATGATTAAGTAAACAAAAAAAAACTTATATTTTAGTTGGACAAAAAAACACCTCTATATTTTCCTCAAACTATCTAGTTTATGAGCCATAATACTCTTCTTTTATGCCCATTAAAGACCCAACTAAAATGACCGCCAAATGAGCATCTTAAATGCCGATAATAGCCTCCTCACTTCCCTCCTGCCTTGTCCGTGTTTCTTACGTAAATTACAGAAATGTCCTCGCCGGATCGTGCCGTCCTTTCCCTTCTGACCGACATCTTTCTATCCTTCGACGGAGCCATCCTCGGCGTAACCCTAGCTTTCGGCGCCGTCCGTGCTGCCTCCAAGTACGCCTCCACCTCCGTCGCCTTGAATAAGATCAAAGACTCCCCCGAAGTCTCCGTCTCCGACCTCCGATCACTGATTCCGCCATCTGATGACGAGAATAGTAATCAGCGTATCGTCGTGGTTCGTGGAACCGTCGCACCTAAAACCACCGGTGATGGCAATCATAAGAACAACAACGTGCTCATCTCTGAAGAGACTGGAGAGAGAGCTCTTATCATCCATAGAACTCAAACTGTACGTTTTTATATAGTAAAGGCTTAAGCTTTGGTGCTGCTTAGAACAGAGTATCTATAAAGGCTTAAGGTTTGGTGCTAATTAAAACAGAGTCTGTATAAAGGCTTAAGCTTTGGTGCTGATTAGAACAGAGTCTATATAAAGGTTTAACCTTTTGGTGCTGCGCAACAGAGTCTGTATAAAGGCTTAAGATTTAGTGCTAATTAAAACAGAGTCTGTATAAAGGCTTAACCTTTGGTGTTAGAGAGAAAGCTCTTATCATCCACAGAACTGAAACTGTACGTTTATATATATAGAAAGGCTTAACCTTTTGGTGCTGATTAGAACAAAGTTTAGAGGACGCATTCTAATGCTAATACCTAGACATATAACATTGCACTATGTTACTCTATAAAAGCTTTTCCTCTTGTGCTGCGTAGAAGAGAGGCTGTAGGACGAATTGTGGAGGAAACATTCTATTTTTGAACTACGTATACATATTAAAGGCTTAACCTTTGGTGCTGATTAGAACAGAGTGTAGAGGAAGAAGCATTAAATTTGCTTTATGTTACTAAATAAAGGCTTAATCTTTGGTGCTGCTTAGAACAGAGGCTCTAGAACGTCCTCATAGTGGAAGCATTTTAATGTCAATTTTGATCTCTTTTTAGTATATGTATAGTGGATGGAAGACTCAGTTTCAGTTTCAGTGAACATAGTGTAGAGGAAGCATTCTAATGCCAGTTATGTTTATAAAGGCTTAACCTTTGGTGCTTGCTTAGAAGAGAGACTGTGTAACGAGTTGTTATCTTTAAAATGGAAGCATTGTAATGTTTTTCAATTTGATCTCTTTTACAGTATATGTATAGTGGATGGAAGACTCTGTTTCACTTGTCAAGTGCTCACCGGTTTCTCTTAGAAAGATCTTTGCCCAAACAAGGAGCTGGCTTTATGAGAATGGTGAAGTCTCTGATTCTACTCTTATGAGCTTTTGGCTCTATCTATATACATCAAACTAGTTTTGACGCCTGTGTGCAGGTCCCGTTTGTTATTATGGATAAGAACCAAGGGTCGCAGACTAGTTTCCTCGTTGTTAACATGGATGGTGCAAGACAGCCTCTTCCTCTTACCACTGTGTATAATCGCTTGCAGCCTATTAATTCATCTCCCTATTCGTTTCTTCAAGCCTTATTTTTCCCTGAGTATCCCGTGAGTATGTATATTCGATAAAGTTTCTGTTTCTTGAAGGTTTCCTTTCTAACTTTGTTATCTTTTTTACTCTCCCAAGGTTGGTATGCTTGATGTGGAGAAGATTTTACCAACTGGGAGAGACTTAACAGCTGTTGGTATCTGTAGTTTTAACAATGGAGTTCCTGAAATCAAGTCTTGCCAAGATCTTCCTTATTTCTTGTGAGATTAGTACTACTTCTTTCTCAGTCTGTTGAGGATTTGAGAATACTTAGTCCACTGTTGCAACAACCTATCTTACTGTTCATTATCTTTTTGAATGAACTTTGCAGATCAGATATGACTAAGGACAAGATGATAATGGACCTTACGGAGACTACCAGTGTATTATTCTGGGGCGGTGTTATCTTGGGATGTTTGTCTGTTGGTATCCTTGGCTTTGCTGCTGTCAGGTAGTTGGCTACTGAGACAGATAGTTTTGTGGTTCAGACAGTGTTTTGATTCTAAATCTGTTTACTGTCTTTTATCTTCAGGGCCTGGAATAGATGGAAACTACGGAACCATCAAGGGAGACCAGACGAACACATGGTCGATGATGAGACAGAAGAAGATGCAGATGAGATTCCAGATGGAGAATTGTGTGTGATCTGTGTGACTAGAAGGAGAATCCCTGCGTTCATTCCCTGTGGACATGTGGTATGTTGCAGACAATGTGCCTTAACCGTGGAACGACGGTCGAACCCTAAGTGTCCTGTTTGTCTCCAGCGCATTAGAGGGTCTATGCGCATATATTACACTTGATGAATGCTAATCTTACCTCATTTGTGTATATGTAATCTCAGAGAATCAGAAAATGTTGAAAATAACAAAATAGTTTGACAAAAGTTCTTCAATATAGAGTGAGATTGCAGATGATGTAAACAGAGTTTTGCAATAACAATTAATAGCCAAGGATGACTCCCCTTCTTCTCAGATGTCTTCATGTCCCTGACATGAGAGCTGAGACATTGTGTGTTGACGAATACCCTGAGAATCTAAATGGTGTGTTTGATGAATTTTAAAGCTTCTTTGTATTGAGAAAACGCCCACCAGAGCCTCTAGCTCTCTTCAAAGCATGAAGATGGCGAGACTCATGAAGGCAAGGCTGCAAAAAAATAACAAACTTTGTAACTCATTACAGATCTTTTGGTGTTTAAGCAAGAGGGCATGTGTAAAAATTAAATACTTTACGGCTTTTGATGAGTTTGTTCTGAGCTTCAAGCTTAGCACGATGGTACTGCATTGCGTTAACGAATATTGGTTCATTCTCTTGAATGTTATGAGGCAATGGCACTCTTGAAGAAACCAATCTCATCATCTCTAAAGGCGACAGCGCCTGCAAGCAAAAACTTTCCCAATATAACCAACCAACGCCAGAACTTTTCAAAGGACAAGGCTTACCATTGGGTGCGTGCATGTTTAGGAGCAGGGCCGGCTCAAACGTTTTATAGGCCCTGGGGCAAAACTGAAAAAGTGACCCTTAATTTCCATCCAAAAAAAAAAAATTCATAACAAGTGAAACTATAATGTTGATATTGTATCTACTAAGGAATATAAAACTGTTTTGGTAGAAAAGACAAACATAACCATAAAATTAAAACAGTCTTGATTCTTTTATAGTTTTTCTTGAGAATGAGATGATTTGCTTCCACAAAAACCTTCACAATATAGCATGTTCTCTTGAATCTGAAAAAGAAAAAAAAAACAGCAGTCATCCCAAAAAGAAATGCAATCACAAGAACAGTTCTTTTGAGCTTTACTCGATGCAAAATCATGGATAACAGTTTCAAAATCAATGTTTTCTAGGATATTTTTTTTCAATGCATAAAATAGCTAAACCATTCAATCTTTCTTGAGACACTGAAGATCTTAAATAATTTTTCAACAACTTTAATTTTGAAAAACTCCTCTCAGCTGAAGCTACAGTCACATGTGTAGTCAAAAAAATTTTGTAAGCAATTGAAACATTCTGATAGCAACCCACACTTTCAACAAACTCAAGAACTTCACTAGATTCTATAGATACATCAGGTAAAATAGTTTGCAGCATTCTCAATTCAGAATAAAGATCATTCAAATCAATATCAGAAAAATCACCATTAGAAAAGGTATTGTAAAAGTTGGTGCAATGAATTTGAAGCTCACCTTCATCTAATGCTTTTAATTTCAAAGAATCAAACAAAAACCCAAAAAAAAAACACTTTTAAAACTCATCATTTGATCAAACCTATTCCTCACTGAAGTTAATGCCATGTCCACAACAACTAAAAAGCAACCAACTCTAAAAGCATCTTCACCTGATTGTACTTGTTCACGTGAATCAGTTTCATCAAATTGTTTTTTTCTAAAGATACGACGCTTATTTGGAAAAACAGAATCAACATCCATCTCATGAACAATATTTTTAGCAATAACCAAACTAGAATTGAACACTTCATCTCTATACTTCTCAAAAAACCGAATTACACCTTGGAGTTGTTTTAAAGCATTGTCAATGCACATAGATTTAGAGCGTAAGTTCTTACTAACTGAGTTAAGAGCAAACATAATTTCATACCAAATGACCATGCCAAGTAAAAATTCAACATTATCAAAAGCCATAATTAAACTTTCAGCATCACTTTTTGTCATAGCATCATCACATGATTCATACAATTCTAATAAAGCTGATCTTACTTGCAAAGGTTAAAATCTGATAGCTTTTATGCTATTAATCTGGCTTTCCCAGCGAGTATTAGACAATCATTTCACTGTAAAAAAAGGAACATGGTCAAGCAAAATATTACATGTCTTTGTAGAACCAGAAAACAAGGTATATATGCGTTGCACAACTCCAAAGAAAAAAATAGCTTTCAAACATAAATGAGCCATATCACTAACCACAAGATTAAAACTATGACAACACATGGCATATACAAAGCTTTGAATTTATATCAAGCAATCTTCTTTGAACACCTTGATGTTTTCCTTTCATATTAGAACCATTGTCATAACTTTGACCCCTCACATTATCAGCATCAAGAGTAAGAGACTTTAGAACATCTAATAACTTTTCAAAGAGCCCTAGACCAGATGTGTCATCTACATTTAGAAACTCTAAAAAATATTCTTCTACTTTAACTTTTTTATCAGACATGTTCACACAACGAATTATTAGACAATGATTTCACTGTAAAAAAAGGAACATGGTCAAGCAAAATATTCCATCTCTTTGTAGAACCAGGGTATATATGCGTTGCACAACTCCAAAAAAAAATAGCTTTCAAACATGAATGAGCCATATCACTAACCACAAGATTAAGACTATGACAAACACATGGCATATACAAAGCTTTTGAATTTATATCAAGCAATCTTCTTTGAACACCTTGATGTTTTCCTTTTATATTAGAACCATTGTCATAACTTTGACCCCTCACATTATCAACATCAAGAGTAAGAGACTTTAGAACATCTAATAACTTTTCAAAGAGCCCTAGACCAGATGTGTCATCTACCTTTAGAAACTCCAAAAAATATTCTACTTTAACCTTTTTATCAAACATGTTCACACAACGAATTATTAGGGTCATTTGTTCTTGATGACTCACATCTGGTGTACAATCAAGAATCACTGAAAAGTATTTTTCTTCTTTGATAATTGCAACAATGGAATGCTGAACATTACGAGCCAAAAGTGAAATAAACTCATTCTGAATATTATGACCAAGATAATGATGATGAATTTCATGATTCTGAATGCGCCTAATATGATCTTGGATGATCAAATCAAATTCTGCAACCATTTCAATAGTTCCTAAAAAATTACCATTGCTATCTTGATAAAGTTTCTCATTTTTTCCTCTAAAAGCTAAGCACCGTTTAGAAAGAAAGTTCACAATAACAATGATTCTAATTATGACTTGCCTCCAACGTTCTTTTTCCTTAGCAATTTCTTTTTGCAATTCTTTATCAATTGTCAGATTTTTTTCAAACCTTAGTTTCAGCTCATTCCAAGTTTCCATATTAGTCATGTGTTCTATACTTCTCTCATGATCTTTAAGCCTCTCACTAAGATGCTTCCAGTCTAAAACCATCATTTACAAACATATTTGAGCAGTTGTTAGATTTAAACAATTTGCAACAAAAACAATAGACTTTGTCTACCTGTTTTGAGTAAACCAACCAATTTATATCACTAGTTTCTCTATTTCTCAACTTTCTGATATAATAATTATATGAGAAATGTCTAGAATACTTATCTAAAGAAAACACAAGATTCATTTGAATACTTATCTAAAGGAAACACAAATTTGTCTATGAAACCAAAATCTCTTCATTCTTCATATTCACAAGTTCAGATATCTCTCTAACAAGAAAGTTTTTGTAGTGTTTTTAGTATTTACGTTTTTATATATAATAATTATACAGTATGCTGAAATGATAATTTTATGTGATTAACTCTTTCTTCTATATTTCCAGGTTTCTCATATCAACATCAAAAAAAATCTGAAATCATGGTAAATTTTTAATTTGTTTCTTTAATGAAGTATGGAAAATTTATTATCTTTAAAACTAGAATTTATATTCCATAATACTAGTAGAATATTTGATATTTCTCTTACAAATATATTATGACAAAGACATGCTTTTTTATGTTCTAATTAATTAATTATTATTTTTTTATAAATTAGTTTATCAAATTAATGCATGTAATTAATAATCATCTAAATATATTTATAAATTAATTTTTATAACCAATTAATCTTTCTAGACAATGAAATGATAAATATATATTTTCGTTCATTTACATATATATATATATATATATATATATATATAAAATATCAGTTTTTAATCTTGTGTATAATTAGTGTCTTTATTTCAAGTTTTTTTATTTTTTATATATAATTGAAGATAAACTTTTTAAAATAAAAATGTATAACATGAAATACTTTTGCTTTATATATATATTTGGGAAAAGTTTTCTAAAACCTCATAAACACTTATNATATATATATATATATATATATATATATATAAAATATCAGTTTTTAATCTTGTGTATAATTAGTGTCTTTATTTCAAGTTTTTTTATTTTTTATATATAATTGAAGATAAACTTTTTAAAATAAAAATGTATAACATGAAATACTTTTGCTTTATATATATATTTGGGAAAAGTTTTCTAAAACCTCATAAACACTTATATATAATATATTTATTAATTGACATATTCATAACTTTTATATAGTTTTCTCAAATATATAAACATAACATTTAGGTAAACTAAAAACATATAAGTTAGAGTTGTTTTTAATTGTTATTGAAACTAACATAAATAAAAAATATTAGTTTTTTATTGTAAATCAAATGTCACCTTATTATAATTATATAGAAATCAGTTTCATATATTAATGCATGTTATTTCAGGTTGTCTCATATACCTACATCCAATCAAACAATTCAAAAAATCAAATAGGTATGTTTTTTATTTGTTTGTTTAATAAATTATAAAAAAATGTAATTGGTTAAAAGATAGCATAAATCTATATTCAATAACACGCAGTAAAAAAATAAGTTTTTGGTTACTTATAACATATGCATGATATTTTAGTTATCTATTTAATTGTATGTACTTTTATATATTAGCTTAATAAATGTATGCATGTTAATGATAAGTCATGTACTGTTTGTTATATATCTATATTCATTAAAATATTTTTTAAAAAAATAAACTAAGTTTTCAATCAATTTCTTCGTGAATTAATAAAAATTTAACCTGTTAAAATGAATTGAAATTTATGTTCAATAACATTTGGCATAATTACTTGTTTTATAAGTATACTATAACTTAAGCATCTATTTTTTATCTTTTATTTAATTTAAATTTGTTTTGATTAGATGAATATTTTTCAATAATTTATTGTATTAGAACTTGGTAAAGTTGTGGTCCTAACTATTAAAATAAAATAATAATTTACGCTAGATAGTGTTTACGTATTCAAACTAATATCGTTTCAATTTGTAGACATGACCTCTAACCGTGGACAAAACGTAAACTTCAGTACAAGTTGCACATAAACATCAGCACGGGTACAATATTCACTATTATATTTTAATATTGTAGTGTTGTTAGAAATAATTGAATAATAAGTTATCATTTTTTGAAATTTCTAGAATGAAGATAATTTGAAATGGGATCACAGACGAGAACGAAAATTTCTTGAGTTGTACGATCAAGCGCTTGTCATGAATAAATATCGGCTGAAAGACCCATTACCCATTGGTAAAAATTTTATAGTTGACAAGTTCAACCAAGAATTTAATCTTGATATAAACTACAAGTTTTTCCGAGAAAAACTTAACCAAATGAAAAGAAAGTACAAAAAGTATACGAGTCTTATACAAAACTCAATGGGTATCTCAGTTGATCTC